TTTTTTTTTTTTTTTTTTTTTGAAGGATGGAACTGGTGGATCCAAGTTAAATAAAAGTTGCATTTCCCTAACAATAGATCTAGTGTGCTTTTGGTTTTATTATTATTTATCTCACTTCTTTGCAATTTTGATACCTTAATTATGAACTACTTTATCTTAAGGTGTATATTTCACAATTAATCCTTGATAACTGGTACTCTGGCAATCAGGTCAAAGATGAACTGTACACTCAACGGAAAAATGTCGTGAAGATTACTAGTGATACTATGTGCTCTCTTTGCCACAAAAAGATAGGAACTAGCGTCTTTGCAGTGTATCCCAATGGGAGGACTATTGTCCATTTTGTTTGCTTCAAAGATTCACAGAATATGAAGGCTGTTGCAAAAGGCTCACAATTGCGCAAGAGATGACATTATCGATTTTCCAAAAAGTTAAGTATGAGAATATCCAGCCCGCTTAGTGTGGATTTAGATTAATCATGCGAATTTTTTTTCCCACCGTGACAATTCGCAGGAACTATTTAAATGAAAGAAAAAAGAATGGGGCATTCTACACATGGAAGACCTATGTTACACCTTGTATATCTTGTTTGTCAAGTTTTATGTATACATGTGTGGTTCTTTTTGTGTTGATTGTCTTTCTGGTGTGGTTGTTAATTTGTGTTTGTTGCAAAATCGTTTACATTGATGGATGTAATTTGTCGAATATATGAGATCATTTTTTCGTCCTACTATATGGCTTCAGTTCACTTAACATGTTCACTCAAGTTGGCATGACACTGTTTGGTCCATGTTTGGAAGAGATTGTGAAATGGATTCTCCTTAATATGGTGCGCATAGTTATAAACAAAAATCTACATTTGATTACATTCTCACCGAGATCCTAATATGTCACGGCTATGAGAACTTTAGTTATTTCCATCCTATTACTCTGCATTGGATCTATCTTGTCACGATTGGGTTTTAAGAATATTCCTTGAACTCTGGAAATTATTTTATTTTATTTTCCCGTAACTGGTTACCTGATCGAAATCGTCATCGAAATCGGTCGTCGAACTTTTTTAGCTCTGTGCAGCTGAAATGCAACTCTCCCCAGCGTGATTTTTTTTTT